TGGCAGGAGGCTTGAAAGCAGCAAAAGCTTCGAGAGTTGCCACTGGCCTCTGCGGGATCGTCAGCATCTGTGACAATTGAGTCTTTTGCTCTGCTCTATGGAGGAAATTAGATGAGATGTGCAGCATTGCTCAGCTTTCGGTAAGTGTCAGAGTGTGTTGTTTTCTTTGCGTGTGTCCTCTCAGACGAGGCAGGATCAAAGGTGAGCAGGGGGGGAACAGCGGCTGATTTAAAGCTAAGTTTTGTTTCTGTTGAAAATGAGTCGTAAATGAAGCAGAACTGGTTTGGTTTTCTTTTGACCAGTCAAAAAGCAGAAGTGCTCGTTTTAAACTCAAAAATCCTTCTCGTGTGTTGGTGTTACTTTGGTTCAAAGCATCGGCCACTCACTCACACAGAGACAGGATCAGTCCAGATCAGCTGACCACAGGTTGACCTACATGCTGTTCTGCCCTCTGGTTATTCTGTGTGGGTTTTTGTCTTTGTGCAAGCATGCACTCATGTTTCAGAATGCTGCTTAATTTTTGGCACTAGGCAGATGAAAGCTTGGCAGATTTATAAATCAGTCTCTGAATTATAGTCATGATTTTTAAAATTATTATTATTTTATTTACTTTGCATTTAGATTGAACATGAAATGAATTCAATTTAATATGAAGTTAGATTCAAATATCCATCCATTCAAGGAAGTGAACAAGAAACACATGCCTGAGCAACAACTGTTTACTTTTCAAATGATCTTGAAAGTAAGTGATTTATTTCCTTTACAATCTTTGTGTATGCTTTCAGTAGACTTAAAACTGAAAAAAAAATGTGTTTATCTCTTGCCTCTGTTGTCATTGAAACTTGCAGGAATATTCATATGTTGTTGGTTTTCCTGATGCCATGTAGCCCAGCCGTGAATACCTATCAATGTTTCTCAAATGAATTATGAAAAGCTAATCGAAAAGTTCAGAAGGCTTTAATCCATACAATAATCAGTTATTGGGCCATGATTAGTTAATTGTAATTAATAAGTTCACCTTAAAACATGTTTTAACTTGTTAATATCTGAATATAAACTTGTCTCTTTATTCCAGAATCCCTTGAATCTCAACCCAGCTTCAGTCAGGGTTTTTTTTATTTACGTCACAATGTCTTTTTCACATCAAATATAATGAATCTCTTTGCATTATCCCATGTCTATTTCCAATTGGTTAATTAGAACCCTGTGATGACTCTTTCCCCAAAGCTCTTTTTGCTGAGCAGAGAAGTGTTCCAACTCAGTCATGAGAAACAAAGACAATTAGAACCAATTTGGGTGTTTTTCCATGCCTTTAAACCCTGATCAGTTTGTTGTGATTTTGCTGGAATAAACGTTTTTGTTTTTACACATTTATAGTTTTTGCAACAGACATTTCACCTCATTTCCTTTCGATTTTATGTGTTGCACAGTATTTTCCTTCATGTCATCAAATTTCAAACCCAAAAAGAGAAACCAACCCAAAATCCAATTAACTGAGCCGGGAAACTAAGTACCACTTATCGTTTCTGAGTGACCTGTGAGAGACCGAGATGGCAGAAATGCGAATGGTTTCGTCTGACTCACACTGGCACTTCCTTTTCCTGTTCAATCATGGCCGACCTGACGTTGAAACCGATGGATCAAAGATGGTTTTTAAACCTTGGATTTTTTTAGTTTCCCTCTTACACTTGTTTATTAAAAGCTCAAAATTTGTCTTCAAGACATTTTTATTGTTCCCTGAGATGAAACTTTAGAGCTAGACTACCCTTGGCGTTGCAAATATTTTAAACATTAAAGTTTGTTTTTAGAAAAATGCACCTTATATTTGAAATATTAGATTGTAGAGTGTTGGCATATTTGCTTTCCTTTTACTCAATTAAATAATTAGGAATCTTGTTTACGCATACAGTTTTTTCTCAATTGAAGTGAATATTCTTTCAATTTTTCTTGCTTCTTTAAATGCATGATGATATTCCTTCATTTGGAATGAAAGAGTTCATCCTTTGGACAGATATTTGATAGATAAAGAGGCTGATTGAGGAAGGGGCTGATTATCAAGCCCCTACCTCAATAACTACTTCCAATTTATGAAACCTTAATGAGCATGTTGGTGTTCAGAGTGCAGGCTTTACACTTTGTTTTATTTCTGTCCAGAGGAGATGACCCACTTCCCACTGTGGATTCTTTTTTGAAAAGCACCACTCTGCTAGAAGCCTTAAAATGAGCCATGCTTTCCATTTGAGCTTTCCAGTTATGATGGAATCCTTATTGTCAATTGTGTCTCATGGAGGAAAACAGTTTGAATGCGTAAAAGGGCATTCGGGCTATAAAAACTAGAATGGCCCTCTGCGAGCTTCTCAATCAGTGTTTAACCTTAAAACTGACAACTTAATTAGTCAAACGTCTCCTGCGTCCAACTCCTTCCTCACTCTTGAGCTGACCCATGAAGCAAACGCGATAACGCGTCGGTGTTTCCAGCGAGCCGAGCCAGCTAACTTCCTGTTAGCCTGCACAGAGTAAAAAACCACTGAAACCATTTGCATCCTGAAGCCGACAGCCACACACTACAAACTCTTCAACCGTCCTCTTTCCCTTCCCTTCAACGCTTTGTTTGTATCACTGACTCCATGCACTGTAGTGACCTCCTCTGACAGCTCGCTGAGCACTTCCCATCAGACTGTTTAGTGACTCATCGGTGACATTTGGCGTTGGAGTGTGTGAGCGCGCCTACGTTTGTTTTTGCAGCTTGTTTCTGCTTCTTTTTTTTTTCTTTTTCTTTTGTGAATCATTGTCGTGCCTGGCAGCCGCCTCCTTCTTCCCACTAACAGCAAGTGGCCATATTAAGTTGTGCTACATGAGCTTGGCTGACAGTTGGGGAAGGAATGTGTAGTAGTGCAAGCTGATGGCTCGCCTTGATAACGGCGAGGGAGGAGCTCGCAGAAGGCTCCTGGCTATGCAGCAGGATTGATTCATATAGTCAGCAGATCTCGTTTAAGAAATGTTGAAAACGTCCTAATTTTCAACTGATATTTTTAAGGAATAAAAAGAAATCTCAGAACCCTTCTCTCTCTCTCTCTCTCTCTCTCTCTCTCTCTCTCTGTCTCTCGCGCTCTCTCTTTTTCACTCTCACGCTTTCATTGAAGCAGCAGCAGAGCGAGATGAAAACGTCATTGTGAAAACTGAGACAAGTAGCTGTCTGGTTATAATTAAGCATGTGATATTTACTAGTTCCCCTCCAGTGGTGGGGAACTGCACGTGGCTGATAAGAGCAGTTCATTCACAGCCCGCTGTTCTCTGATGTTCCTCGCAGCCAGCGAGAGGCGCCTTTCCGCATAAGCTCATCTTCACAAAGCCCAGACGCTGAATTTGTTTGTTTACTCATTAATGCACACTTAGGTTTCCACATTTGCTTATTTATTTATTTTTTCTATCTTAGCATGCGTGCTTGTGCCCTCACAGCTGCTCATTAGCTGGATTTGTAACTATTTTTGAGTTGGATATTTTCTGTTTTCTCATTGATGTGAGCGTGATGATGACTGGGATTGTGACATGTCACATATAGATGAGAAAAGGCTGAGCAGGACGGTCATCAAACTTCTGACACTGCAACTCCGGTCACCTGAATTTCACATCCCATTATGTCTGTCATGCCTGTAGGTTAAAGTCATAATGCATGGGCTTAAGAAATACAGTGTCCTGTGGAAATAGTCAAATACTTTTACTCTGATTCTCCTAAATAAAGTCCAACGTAACAAACTGCCTTCAGATGTCTCATCCTTAGAAAATAGCATCCATGTGCATCTAATTTATTCATTAGATGCAGCGGTTTCTTGGAGAACAGCAATGAACAAACAGAATCATTACAAAAAATTGATCAGGGACAGGGCTACAGTTGTGCTTAAAGCTGGCATAAGTCATAAAAGCTTCATAAGTCTCATGATCCACTATCTAAAGATGAAACCAGTATGGGATGACTGCAAATGTCCAACACATGGGTCTCCAACTAAACAGACATATTGGGCAAGGAGAGTATTAGTCATAAGAGCAGCCGAGAGGGAGAGAAGTTAACTCTAAGCGGCCAAGGGACAGCTTAAAATCCAAAGCTTAGGTGGGAAAATCTAATATGCTGTAGCAAAAGGGGATTTCACAAAGTGTTGACGGAGGGATGCTGACTAGAAAATGAGCCCATGCTATTCATATACCGTATAAAATCCCTGAAACGTTTTAGGGTTAGGTGTTCTGTTGGTAGTGACTTACCTAGGTAGAGGTACTAACCTAAGTACGTCAGTATGCGCCTTACTTAGGAGTTTGACATTATATAATTTAAATAAAATTAAGAAAATTAAAGTTTGAAACTTTGTTGCAAATCCTTGACTTGTAGGAACTGTTACAGTTCCTCAAGCTCCTTCCATCTCTCAACATCACCTTTCTTTGTTTTTATGATTTTCCCAGTTTTCTATCGCATCCTGTTTCTGATTTTTGTTTTGGGAGGTATTTTTTTCTTTCATTTCCCCAGATGAACCAGTGAAATCAGCTCAGATTGTTTGTAGTGATTTACTTATTTTTTTTGGTAACTTGTGTTTGAAGCACTGGTAGCTTTGAACACTTGAAAGCTGGCCGACCATTTTTGTCTGATCTAGATGTATTTTTGGATTCTGATGTGCCTTAAATTGAAACAATAATCAAAGCAACAAACAAAAAGTAACTTTAATTCTTGTACTTTTCTCTTTCACAGAAAACATCTTGAAGGTAGATAACTCATTGCAAGAACTTTTCGAAATCTCCTAAAGAAAAACTGTACAAATCTTCACATTGAGTATACCATAAGAAGAAAATAAACAAATATTTTTGTTATTTAGTGGCTAAATGTGACTAAAATAGCCCTGCATTCGCTTTCTGGTCAGATCACACTGCATTATTGTTTGGTGTCTATGCTTCTTCTTCTTCTTCTTCTTCTACCATTTATCCCAATTTAAAAATCTGTAATTTGAACCCCACAGAAACCAGCACCTGCAGGAGATGTCAGAGTGATTCAGGTAGAGCTACCCTCCCTTCTGGGCTGCAGCATCATTTATTTGGCTTTTGTGAAACCACACACGCATCGCCGGGGAGGCGGGAATCTGCCCTCTCCCTTCATCTCCACTTGTCCTCAGTCTTTTCATTCATCATCTCCTGCTCCTCTTCCCCCGCCCACTGTCTGGTCTCAGATCTGGTGCACCACCACAGGCTGTGGAGGGGATACTGTCAAATTAGACAGATTTGAAAACAACTTTGTCTTTCTCTTTTAGTTCAGATTCTTACAAGCAGGACAGAAAACTGTTGGAACAACAAATTTCCAAAATAGCCTGTCTGTAGCAGGAGCTTTAGATTTGAAATATTCTGACTGTGAACTAGGTTTGGCAAAGTATGATTTCTGACAGAGCTGTCTCTCTGCAGGGCATGTTTAGGTTGTTCCGCCTCCGAGCTGTTGAGACTAAAGCCCATTTGATATGCTTCTCTCTTAAAAGAAGTTGGCTTTTACAGAGAGGGGGCAGGAAGGGGGATATCATCGACCACATAAATGGCTTCCATTACACTTCAGCAAAAAGCATGACTTTATTTTTTTATTTATAAATTCAAAGGATTTATTTTACCCGCCCCCCTCCATATTCTTCCTCTGCATAATATTGTGTGCCCACACAGTACAGGCCTACCTGCCGGTGTTTTATGGAGTTTTGCTTTTTAATATCTATCATGAATCGCTGCTTTATCATCCCACACATTGTCTCTGAAGGCTTCTTTGTCTAGTGCTGCTTTGTTTCTCGCTCAGAAATTGTAATTTTTCATTTAGTAATTCCTTCATTTATATAACCTATGACAAAGCTGATGTAGACTTGAATTCACGATGTTAAATTTTTTCAATTAACCTTCGGAGTTGTGCTTTAAATTTGCCAGTCAACCTACTTTGAAGGCAGTTTTAAAACATTCTTAATAACTGAACTTATACTGTTAATGTCTTATGACTTGTGACTCATACAGTCTTTTCTTTTATCTCAGATTCATTTCACTTAGCTGAGGTATTTAGTTGATGTTTTTAATTTTAATTATATCATTCTGGTAAATGATGTATTTTTGAAGTATGCATATTGTAACGGGTCTTATCATATTCAAGATTTTATCATGTTCCTAAAATAGAAGTTTCTCTTTATTATGGTATTTATGCAAAGAATGTAAACTAAAAAGTGATATTTTTTTTTAAACAAACTGACACCGAAATTACATAGTCACTACAGCTGTGCAAGAGCTTTCTAGGATATTTGTTTCAATTTCAATACATAATCACGTAATGCAAAATATAGGATGGCCGTAAGTTTCCATACATTGAAAAAAATAAACATTTTACATTGGACAACCGTTTTTATTTTTGTGGGATTCTGTGTAATTGCTGCACATCGTGGTTGATCTGCAACATTTCCAGTTTTCTAAAATTTGCAAATAAGTGTCATGTGTGATGCTCGTTCTGTTTTCTGTTAAAGTTTTGTGCACCCGTGCGATTGCTTCCAGATCCAGCCATCAGCATAATTTCAATGCTTTGCTCTTTTGTCAAATGCATCTTCTTGAGCATCTGAAATAAAAAAGAAATATACATTTTACATTCTCCTATGTATGAAAACGTATGGCCCACCCTGTATAATAATAGTTTTCAAATGTGCAGATTCTTATATCTTTTGTATATTTTGCTCTTTATACAGATAGCACTCCTATACTAGCTGGCTAATTAGTCAGGCTGTCAGGTACAGCTTGCACCATTTGTTGCTTGGATAAATGCAGCTGCACAACAGTCACACCTTTCACACATCATGTAAGATCCATATATTCACCATAGCAGCAAATTTGAAATATCTCACTAGCAACATCACTTCATGTCAGCCTGGTTCATCCAAACGCTTCACTTTACACCAGCATGTTTGATGCTGGAAGCTGAAAGTAATACAGACGCCATGACCTACTTTCTGATTAATTCTGCTAATAATTAAAAGACAACACGGGTGCTTCCATGAAGCATTCAAGTTTAATTCCTAGAGGGTCATTTAATGATATTAAAATGAGACAGTTGATGGAACAGCAGAACTAATATTCCTAGTCCTGTATTAAACTCGGCAAGTTCCAAGTTAGAATTGTGCAACCCAAATTCATCATTTCAAAATGGAGCGCAAAAACACTTGGACATGATAGAATTTAGTGCTTTACAAAATTCATTTCCTCAATTGTGACGGCAACTGAAACTCAGCCAGCAATTCCAGTTTCCACATTACCCTAAAGGATAGTGGTGGTTTGTTCTGTTTTACTTTCAATGCCATGTCATCTTTTTTTTTCTGTATTTCTGTTTTCCTCTTGCTGTTTATGGGGAAATTTGAAACAAACTGGAAACATTTTTAAACAGGCACATTTATCTGATATGCAAGAAAAGTAGTAGCCTTATTTTTATGTCAGCTGACCAGAAGTGCACTGCAACAAGTGGGAAAAGGGAATTGTTACATTGCTCCAAAACCCCAGAGAAAAACGATGACACCGACTCATTAAAAGGACCAAAACCTAACCATTTGAAACTTTCTTATGCTTCAGTACCAGTAGTCTGCATTATTTTAGCCTTTATAAGATTGATAATAAAGTGTGTTTATGCTGATAAACTCACTGCTGTAGAAGTCCGGTGGCAAACCAGTGATCGCAGCACCATGCTTTATTGTTGTTGATTATCTCAATATTAAACCATATTTCAAGATTAAGCTCGTCGAGTTGTGGAATAAGTGACAACAGTCCTGCTTGGTTTCATGACAGAGAATATAACACACTGAAGTCAATCATAAATGTTTGAGAGAAATTGACATCAATTGGATTTTTCATCAGGTTTTACACAGCAGTTTACATCTGGGAAATATGCAAGTTATTAACACTTTTCCGTTGCTGATTCTGCATCAGCATAGTGTTGGTGTATGTATGCTTGTGTGTGTTTTGTGTTTGATTATGTAGCAGATCAACATCTTTATTTTTAACACACAATAGACGCTCATTAAGAAAGTGAGATTACCCATCGAGCAGCTGTATGTTAGAGTAGGCACATTTTAAATACATCCGGAAGTTTGTGATTTTTTTTGACAAAGTATTTGCACAGAAAAAGCAAATCCCCAACACAACCGCATATGCTTGTGCACGCTCAGCACCCTCACAGTTCATGGTAATTAGCATTCGGGTTCCCTTGTAAAAAGGTCTTGTACTACCACTCTGTCATTAGTTAATGGGCCTGGCTCGCTTTCTGCGCCTCTCCTGGCTGCTCCCAGGAGGAGCGGTCGAGTTGAGGTGAGAACGTGCCAGAGCTCCCGCTATCTATCAGTCAGCTGCACGACGTTAAATACAGCTTGAGTGTGGAGGACCCATATGTCCCATGTGTCATTACCGGGCATTACTCAATTAAAACTCCTTAGCTTCTAAGAAACTGGGCTTCCTGGGAGCTCCGGCTTAAGTCCTGATGTCACTGCTGGACAGAAGAACAGAGCACTTGTTGCAGAGTCGCTCTGTTCAAGAAGCGTCTTTCAGAGTCCTGAAAAGTGTTATGAAAATTTGGTATATTATTATTACTGTTAAAGAAGCTGATGAGAACACATTGGTGTATGGTGAATCAGAGTTTTTGATGAACTGCAGAGACATTTTTTCCACACAAAACAGTAGACAAGAATTTAAAAGATTAGTTTTGGGCGGATCTCGTAAACATTTTGCAGTTCTACTAATATTTTTATTACTAAGTTCGGAGTTTACCTGATATTAGATTAACACTATAGAGAATAAAGCCCAAAATATTCACAAGTAGGGACATGTTTTTAGTATTCATCCATTTTTATGCCTTAACAGTTCTTAACAAAGTTTAAAAACAAGGGTTTTTCTTTCATTTTTTTTCTTTTAAAGAGGGTATTAACTTGCATTTTTTGGAAGAACAGATGTGCTCAACTTCATAATAAACATCTTGATCTTAACACATACTTTAGTTGCCTATAATGTTTTATTTTATTTATGTATTTATTTTACCAAAGATGCCTTGATGTTCTGTCGTAGAATGGGAGCGCTAATCAAGGAAATACACTGTTTAATCCACAGTGGAGCCATTGTTCCACTTACATATTTTACAATTCACCACAGTTGTGTAACTGCCACCTAACTTCCTTGTAGAGGCTGCTGAAGACTGAAACACTCATGTTAGAGTTGTTGTTGAGCATTTCAACGTGCAGCAGCAACAAACATCCCTTCAGTTCAGGAGGATAAGCCCTCAGGGACCAACATAGCATGTTTCTAAATAAGCTTTGTGTTTCACAGTGCAGCAGCATTGTGTTTTTGCCCATAACTCTGGAGTGTTGAGACATTTTCAAATTTCAGCTACGCTCTGCAGGGCTGTTACCAGCTGTAAACGTCAGGTTTTAAGAAAATTAGAGTCTCATAGTCAAACTGCATGTAAAGATTTGGAAGACAATGAAAGAAAACCTTGACTTTATCTCACTTTAGTGTGACAAAAATGTAATTATCCTTTCTGTCCTTCGGGTGTGTCATCAACACAGTGACAGCAAAATGGAAGCACAGAGATACACATAGAGATAAGGAATAATAATAAAATGGTTGTACATAAGGTCAAATATTGAGGGAAATTGCACAATGTCTAAATCCACCATTTGGGTTAAAATAATAACCTAAAATTGTTTTCCATTCATGTAATTAAAAAAAAATTCTATAGTGTGTTGATTTCTCCGGTGAAGCTCTACATGAGTGGTTGTAGGGAGAAAAGGATTTAACAGAAAGTCAGTGAGCAGTTAACCTTGACTCATCTTCATCAGGCTGCTGTTAGCGTCTTCATTATAAAGTATGCAATTAAACTGTAAAGACTTCAGTGTAAATGAAATCGAAATAAGTGAAAAGATGAAAGAGAGGCGTAATTAGATAGAGACCTTGGCTTTTTCATTCCCGTTTTTGTTGGCCGATTGTCTCCGCTCTTGGCATCGGGTGCTTTGTCTTTTCTGCCGATGACATTAACAAACTTTTTAATGAGGAAGATTTACTTCATACTGTTGGTGTTTAGAGTTGTTTAGTAAATAAAAGAGACAAACTGTAAAGAGGTGACGATGCAGTCCCAGACTTTGATGGTGTTTTCAAGGGGACTGTGAGGTTAGAGAAAGGTCAAATGAATAAACTTGTTAGGATATTTCACTATGTCCAGACCCAACATTGCTGTGATTGACTGCAGGCAGATTCTGCAATTTGCTTCTATTCTGATTTGGCAAACACTTTCCAGTTCTCCCCATCTGTATTTTAAGGTGATTTTGCCACTCATTCTCAGAGTTTGGTTTCTGAATGTTGGGTTGCTAGTTAAAGAGACAGTCACACTTTGTGGAGGTGGTGATTTAGTGTGGAGATAAGCTCTGTTTAATGGCAGGGTGGAATAATTCCACTTTAACAAGGAGGCTTGGCTCTCGCCACCCTACAGAAGAAAACACTGCTCCTCCTCTTCTATGCGTTTATTCTTTCTATTTTTATACTAAGAGTAAGCAGGCGGTTGTCCAACAAACCATTTATCTTTCAGAAAAAACTATATTTTGTTAGTATTCTATGTATTACATGTAGAAAGTTAAAGATTGAACAAATTTTGTTTATTTCACACCATTTTGTCTGAGGAGATAAAAATGAAATTTAAATGGGCCACAAAGATAGATTAAAACTATATTTTTTAAAACGTTCAATCAGCACGAATGCCTTAAGAAGAAATGTCTTGTTTTCTTGCTGAGTCTGATTACACCTGGGAGATCTGAGAAGATGCCTCTTGGCGTAGAGTGGCAGTGCTGAACGCAGGAAGTGAAGGACAGTGGAGATATCACTTTTTCTTACTTCCTACATTGATCTTATCTGTAACCCCAGTCGCTCTGTCTCTCTCTTCGTCTCTCTCGCCACATTTCTGCCTCTCGCCAGCGAGAGAGCCAGGAGGTCCCTTTTGTACTGCAGATTGATTTCACACTGCAGGTAGATATGATGGGATAGAGAAAATATAAAAGCGGCAAATAGATCGAGTCAGTTGTGCTGCATTAGGCTGCCCTCTGGAGGCTTTGGAAGCAGACATGCATTTTAGTGCAGCACTGACCCAGTAGGCCAGCTCTGCTGAGATAATTCCTTCCAATTAAGAGCATAAACTGAAGCAGTTCCATAAAAAAAAAATTTACGTGTAACCCTGGATGGTCAAGTTTTCTGTTGTTGACATCTTTAATAATAAAAAGTGTCTCTGCTGATAGATAATTGTATTGCTGCTATCGAACAAACGGGGTGCAGTGGAACGCTCTGCGACCTGAAGTAGGCGGGGCTTGAAATGTCTCATATTCACATTTAAAAGGGCCGCAGCAAAACGAGTTGCTCTAAAACTCGCAGCTCAGAGGTAAACGAGGCGTCTGTGGAGCTACAATAAGGAGGAATTGCAATGCTTCTCTACGTAAAGGAGAAGCTTTACAGTTCTCCTTGATATAGGCCGCAAGTGAATGATTTATATGTGAAAAGGAAGGATTTAAAAGCACCATATGTCTACTTTAAAATGTAAAAACTTTCAGAATTTCAAAAATGTGGAGCAAAAGAAAAAAGCTGTTTTTCCAAACTTTGTTGTCATTCTTGGTGTCAAAAATACCAAGAATACTAAGAATATGACCAGTTTAAAACCATGCGTATACGCAATGCATGCAACAATATTCTAACACAGAAAGAAGACAGTTGAACAAGTTTTTTGTTGTGGTTGCAAATGGGTAAAAAAAATCCTACTTTCATACAATATTTAAAAAAAAACACATATTCTCATTCATTTTAACAAATCATCTTTGTTACATTTAAACTATAATTTTTATTTAGCTATATTGCTAAGGTTTATATGAATTGAGCATCACTGTGTTTATATGATCTTTTGTGACAATAGAAGGATCACCTGTTTTAGCATCAAAATTAGTTGAATTTATTAGTCTCTGGGTTGAGAACCTGTTGGAACAAAGATTTGTTTCAGGAGTGGCTCTACTGTGGACCAAATCATACTAAATTAAAACAATGGAAAAAACTGAGCTTTGTGCAGTGTTAGAAATTGGGAACTAAAATCGATTCCCGCAGTTAGCCTTAAATATGATAATCCGAGTAGATGACTAGTTACATAAACATGCAGAGTTGACTAATGTGTTTATATGCGCGTTCTTTTCACGCAGCTCTGCTGTCGTCGTGGTGTGAGGAGCTGGGCCGTCTCCTCCTGCTGCGTCATCAGAAGAACAGGCAGAACGAACCGCAGGGAAAAGTTCCCATGCAGCCCAGCATGAACACCATGAAGCCTGGCCTCACACACAGGTCAGTTACATGTGTGAGAACGTGTTTTCTGTCAAGAGAACAAAGAAGAATGGTTAAAACAAATCAACAAAGGAGAACAAAGTCGCCACTAGGACATGCTATCATCTATGAAGTAGAGGGAAAAAAAATCCTGTTGTTCTGCCAAGAGCCAGAATCACTGAGGAAGGAGCAAAAGGGGATTTACTTGGGGTGGAGAGGCAAACCAGCAGTGATGTGAAGTAATATTTCTGAAGAACATTGTGTGCTCTTGCTTTTCTTTTCCTCCAAGAGAAAATCCTGGAATTAGCTAAGAGTGCTGTTTGCCTCCGCTGAGGATCTTTGGGGGAATATTGTGCCTTTTATGAGGAAATATTGAACATGTCGTCCATTCCAAGAACTAACCTCGGAGAGAAAACAAACTGCTTTCCAAAAACAGCATTTCACTCCTCTCTGCACAGACCACTTGTCTCTACCCAAGAGGCTTTAGTTTATTTATTAGATGTACCAGACTGTCTTATTTGTTTAGTTCGAAATTACTTAAATTCCTGCTCACTTCTTCTTATTTATATCTAAGGATTTTGTTCCCCAGCGGTAACAATTGCTCAGATTTAGTTCCTTTTCTGTGTCTAATAAAAAAAACCTCATTATCAGGTCAATTAAAAAAATATATTCTCCATTCTTTTGTCTGCTGTCTTGCCTCAAACACCACAATAATAATGTTTTTATCTGTTTTCCAGTGATGGATCATTTCCGTATGACTCTGTCCCCTGGCAACAAAACACCAACCAGCCTCCAGGGTCACTGTCGGTGGTTACAACTGTGTGGGGTGTGACTAATACGTCACAAAGTCAGGTACCCATCCATATTAAAACAGCCTCTCTGGGTTTTTTTGTGCTTTATTCTGCAGACTTAAGCTATAAATTCACCTTTTATAAGCATGATTTTTGTGTAACCAGTTAAGTCTTGTGTCGTTAGGTGCTGTGTAATCCTATGGCGAACAGCAACAACCACATGAATCCCGGGGGAAACCACATGGGATCGGGTATGTCGGCCAGCGCAGCAGGGCTCAGTTCGCCGCAGTTCAGCGCTCAGCAGCAGCAATTCCCAAGCAAAGGAGGATCCGGCCAGTCGTACATGCAGCAGGGCATGTATGGCAGGCCTGGCTATCCCGGTGGGCCTGGGGGGTACAATGGAAGGTGAGACACTCAGTCCAGCTAATATTTATTTGACAGTGGGTCAGAAGCCAAGGCTACGATGAGCAGGATGTAGTTGTGTTATGGTTTAATTAGAAGAGAAAGATTGTATGTGTAATTTAAAACACCTTTTAAATCCACTGGCTAAAACAGTGTTTCTCTGAGGGGCTTTAGTGAGTAGCAGGGTGGCATTTTTATGGGAGCGCAGATTGATAGCCAGGATTTTCTTAATTTTGGGTGATTCACGATTGTCGAGATGGTCAATACTTACTTGTGAAACCGATCTTGTCCACAAATCAGTGGCCAACAGAGCGAGAAAAACAGGCATTAAAAGAAAATTTGGCAAAAAAAAAAAACCTCGGGTATCCTTGCCTGCTTTGCAGGTTTTTACAACTGTCTTTCTGTGCACTGTGTGTCTGCTTGTGGGAACCCCCCAAGTGCAACCAAGCTAAAACTCATTACATTCATCCATCCATCCATTTTCTGTTCACCCTTGTCTCCAGTGGGGTCGGGAGGTGCTGGTGCCTATCTCCAGCTATGTTTTGGGCGAGAGACTGAGTCCATCCTGGACAGGTCACCAGCCTGTCGCAGCTAAAACTCACTCTGTACTCAGATTTCCATACTGTCATAGTGTCAATACAACTGAAATTGAAGTAGATTTGTAGGAAACCTGACTAGAGCTGTGAGAAGTGAGGTCAGGTGGTAATCCTCAAACAGAAAACAGGTCTGATTAAACTCTAGCATCACAACTGATTATTTTATTTATTTTTTTTGTAGTTATTCTGGAAACCCCAACGCCCCTCCTGGCGGCATGGGAATGACAACCCACACACGTCCCCCTAGTGACTTCACTCCCCCTGCTGCTGCAGCTGCTGCTGCAGCCGTTGCTGCAGCTGCTGCCACAGCCACGGCCACAGCGACTGCCACTGTGGCTGCTCTGCAGGAAACGCAGAATAAAGAGATGAACCAGTATGGACAGGTACAGAACCCACCTGAGAACATCCATCCATCTGCCTGTCTGTGACCCAAACAAAGTCTGTTTAAAAGTTGAACCTTTTATTACCCGGCAGATGTGCCCGTCGTTCCAGATGGGCCCTGCACCAGCCTACAACAGCCAGTTCATGAACCAGCCGGGCCCCCGAGGGCCTCCTGGAGGTATGAACCCAGCTGCCATGGGCTCAGGCATGAGCAACCCCAACATGAGTGGCCCTCCAATGGGCATGAGCCAGGCTCGAACACCAGGCATGGGGCCTTTTGGAGGTCCCAGTCAGAGGATGCCTCAGCAAGGTTACCCTGGTGGGCCACGGCAAGGCATTCCCATGCAGGGGATAAAGAGGCCGTATCCTGGGGAGGTCAGTGAACCGTTCAAGAAACTGCACCACTTTCAGAATAATGCTACCTGTTGTTTCCGACTTGAATGTCTTTCTTTGATTTTCATTACTCAGGGGAGTTACGGGGGTCAGCAGTATGGGCCAAACAGCCAGTTCCAGCCTCAGCAGGGACAATACCCCTCATCATCAAATCCCTCCAGGCCGCTGCCTTCCCCTAACTACCCCAGCCAACGGATGCCAGTGCAGCAGGGTCAAGGACAATACCCCCCTGGTATGCCCATGAGCCAGTACTACAAGGTCAGTTTTCCCACATCAGCTTTGCTCTCCACACTTCCTGCCACAGCTAGCGTCAAACTATTTTGTAGCTGCTTGGAACTTAACAATCATTGGTTTTTATTTACACCCACAGCAAGAACCATTCAATGGTCAGAACACTAGCTTCACTGGAGGCGGATATTCCTATAACCAAGGCAGTGGGGTGTGTTTTAACTTCCTCCTTTCAGACCATTCAATATTTCAGCTGTGTCCTGAACAAATTATTTTACTTTGTGTAATTTTACTTTTATTATTGCACTTTTCCTGCCTTTCACAGCCCCCAAGGCCTGGTAACTACCCGCACTCTCCAGTCCCAGGAAACCCAACTCCTCCCATGACCCCAGGAAGCAATATTCCCCCTTATCTGTCGCCAAACCAGGATGTGAAGCCCCCCTTTCCACCCGACATGAAACCAAATATGACAGCACTTCCACCCCCTCCGGGTGAGTTAGGCAGCAGGTCTATAACAAAGGGAGTGTTTTTTAAAATAATTTTTCCCCTGCTAGTCTTCACGTGCAAGGATTGAAGAGTGTTTCCCCATTTTAGGCAACCCAAACGAGGAGCTGCGGCTGACGTTCCCAGTTAGGGACGGGGTGGTGCTGGAACCATTCCGCCTGGAGCACAACCTGGCTGTCAGTAACCACGTCTTCCACCTGCGACCGTCCGTCCACCAGACACTCATGTGGAGGTACGTTTAAACCAGGCCGTGTTGGAGAAACTAGTCATGAGCTTAGTTCACTTCACCTACATGCAGTGTGTGTCTTTCCTAACAGTTTCACATTTTGCTACATAAAGGTTTCATGTATTGCTGTGGGTTTATTTTGTTTCTCTAGACTAACGCAACGTAGCGCTTAACTAGTAAGTAAATGAAGAAGGGTAGTTAGTTTTTCAACAGTTTTTATTGAAAAGAAAAGATATGAAAACTCTGTTGCACTTTCATGTGTAACCTTTGACATGAGCAAAATTCTATCCAACCAATTATTGATCAATATTAGTTGTGTAAAACAAACACTGCACGTCCCTAAGAACACGCATTCCCCACTTTAAAACATGATGGAGGCAGCCTCATGCAGTGCTGTTCTTTGACACGAATAGGAAAATTTTGCGACTTTGCAGCAGAAGTTCATCTTCTAACAGAAAGGTATTTCTATATAGTAATGCCTATTTATGATTGTAAACTCACAAAATGTAAAAATAAATAAAAAGTTAAATGATTCTCAATACATTACCAAGTCATCCAAACACAATATAAAACCGTCATATTATTGCTTTTGTTGTAGGTCAGATCTTGAACTCCAGTTTAAGTGCTACCATCATGAAGACAGACAAATGAACACCAACTGGCCGGCCTCGGTCCAGGTCAGCGTGAACGCCACGCCGCTCACCATTGAGAGAGGCGACAACAAAACCTCCCACAAGCCACTGCACCTGAAGCACGTCTGCCAGCCGGGGAGGAACACCATCCAGATCACGGTCACCGCCTGCTGTTGTGTGAGTGTTTGCAGCGAGCACAATGAGACGCATCTCTTCCATTCAGCAAGAAGTTGGTGTACTACACAGAAGAAGCAGGTGGCTAACTCTGTCTCTTGTTGCGTTTCAGTCCCACCTGTTTGTGCTGCAGCTGGTCCACAGGCCATCTGTGCGCTCCGTCCTCCAGGGGCTCCTGAAGAAGAGGCTCCTTCCTGCAGAACACTGCATCACCAAGAGTACGACTCATTACTGCAGCACCTTGGATCTCTTTATGTTCATTTTCTAAAACAGCCGTCAACAAACACTTGCCACTCTCCACAAACCAAATTTCCCTCGTCTGCAGTTAAGAGGAACTTCAGCAGCGTAGCGGCGTCGGCGGGCAACACCACGCTCAACGGAGAGGACGGCGTGGAGCAGACGGCCATCAAAGTATCGCTGAAATGTCCCATCACCTTTCGACGCATCCAGCTCCCCGCGCGGGGCCACGACTGCAAACACGTGCAGGTTTGTTTTGACCTTGGAGAGCAGATAAAAACAATGACAGAAGGTTTTTCTAACAGCTGCTTGTTTTCCTCTTCAGTGCTTCGATTTGGAGTCCTACTTGCAGCTCAACTGTGAGAGAGGGACATGGAGGTGTCCTGTGTGCAAGTAGGTGAAAATCTGGTCTTTTCTGAAAATAAAACTTGGAGTCATTAAGAATTACTCTAATGGTTGTGTTTTTTTTTTCTCCCTTCAGTAAAACAGCATTATTAGAAGGCCTGGAGGTTGACCAGTATATGTGGGGTATTCTTAATGCCATCCAAAAGTAAGTTTCTCTTCCTAAAAGGTCAATCATTCTTCATTTAATTTGTGTTTCAAACCAACATGGTCTGCTGTCTCTTCCAACAGTTCAGACTTTGAAGAGGTCACTATAGACCCCACATGTAGCTGGAGACCAGTTCCCATCAAGTCTGAGCTGCACATCAAAGAGGATCCAGACGGACCGCTGGCCAAGCGCTTTAAGACTATGAGTCCGAGTCAGATGACCATGCCCAACGTGATGGACATGATCGCTCAGTTGGGGCCCGGTCCAGGACATGGCCCAGGATCTGGGCAGGGGCCAGGTCCGGGTCCGAGTTCCTACCCCCACCATCCTGGACAGCATCCCAGCGGAAACGGAGATTACACCGGATCAGGTACCAACAGGCAGCCAGGGTAGCAAAGGTTTATTCAGAGTGGATAAAAAACAACAATTTTCATTTCCACACTTTATTCCATCATCCATTCTCTACTTGTTGTTTATGTCTGTCATGGATTCCTCCATCTTTTGCTCTGTCACTGACTGTCAGTCCATCTTCACATTCCTTCCACTGTTCCTCCCACATCCGTCCATGTCAGTGGTAAATTCATAATGAATTTTTTAAGTCTGCTTAAAAAATGAATCTGAAACTGGGTCAGGAACTCTTGTCACTTTGAGTCTGGAAAAATATGAAGTGGAAGTCTTAAAAATATAGCAGAACCCTGTTTTTTTTTTTTTTTTTTTTTGTCATTTTGTCGTCAGCTGAAACGACAGATGTGTCTCCTGTGTTTTAAACAAACGAACAGCCAGAAGGAAAAGCAGCTTTAATTTGTTTCTTCTCTGATACTTGTTTCTCTGCAGTAATAAAGTAAAAATTGTTACACATTCTGTTTCTGTAAAGCCCTCAGGCACGTGTTCTCTGTTAAAAACAAGCTTTTTCTCTCTTTCTTTTCTTTTCTTTTCTTTTTTTTTCCTGAAGGCAACAGCTACCACAATCAAGGTAGCTTTGACTTCCCTAACGGGAACCCATCCGCTGGCGGTGGCGTTGGAGGAGGAGGTGGTCCTCCCATGAATGATTTCATCCACGGCCCACAGCTCTCCCATCCTCCCGACGGACCCGGTGGTCTTCTCCCCCAGGACAAGCCTCTTAGCCACGGCATGAACGATCCAGTGAGTACATCGCTGCAACTTGGGAAAAACAAGATTGTTGCTCTCAAGTCCTGAAATAAGCAATGCCTTGAAAGAGTAGGTTGACATTTTGCCATGTCACAACCAAAAACTTATGAGTTAGTAGGACTTTACGTACATAATTATGACTTGTTGAGTCATTTTATTAAACCACATTAGCTGCAAGAACAGCTGAAAGCCGACCCTGCTACTGCTGAAGAAAAGCAGCACCACCCCATCATTCTGCTAGGCAATATTTTGAAGTATAGTTGTTTTTTTTTTGGGGGGGGTGAGGGGGGTTGTTGTTTTTTGTATAATCTTTGCTGTATCCCCCACATAATTTTTTTATTATTATTTTCCTGGGGAACTTAAATAAAGCAGAGTGTAGACTTATGAAGGCCACACTTTTCAGATTTTGCTGAGTACAAAATCGCTGAACAATTTTTATCTCATTTTCTTTGCACCTCACAAATATGCCCTATTTTGTGGCAGCCATTCTTGTAAAATTCGAGTAAAACTTGTACTTATAACGTGACAAAATTAGAAAAATGTCAGGGTTATAAATCCTGCTGTTGAATCCTGTAAATCTATCTTTGTGTTACACTTTATGAGAAGAAACTCTGCAGATGTCGTGCTAAAATGAAACCACAGTCTTGTTATCTAAACAAGGTGCAGCCTGTCCCTGTAAACCAGCATGTGTGCTCAGTCATGCTCACATGCTCATGCTTCCATCTTAAAGGCCTGTTCCACATTATTCATGCTCATGTCGTCTCCCCTCCTCCTCCCGCCTTAACACGTTATCCTCCTCCTCCTCTGTGTCTTCCCGATCTTGTACCTTATCCTTCTTTTTCACTCTCTGGCTCTCTGTTTGCATTTCGCACCTGCAGATGTCCCATTCAGATCAGTCCCATAACTCCATGCAGCCGAGCATGCATGCGTCCCCGCACGCTGGCAGCCAGTCAGGGCCGCCCTTACATCACAGCGGCCAGTCAGGGCCGCCCCTGCATCACAGCGCCCAATCATCACAGCCGCCTCGCCAGTCGCAACCGCAGCCTCAGCCGCAGCAGCAGCCGCAGCCGCAGCACCCTGTCCAGAACAGCCACCCCCACGGCGACCTGAGCTTTAACCCCTCCTCAGACACGCAGATGGCTCAGGGAGCTCAGGACATGCCCGAACCCTCCCTGGATGTAAGTGAGCCTTGCTCTGGGTGCCGTAAGCTACCTGTTTAACAGCTAACAATGTCTGCTACAGCTGCTCTCATCTCTCTTTGCTGTCTGCTTTGATTACCACAAATCGCTTATGAAGACGACTGAACTGAAGCTAGACACTGAACACAACTTGCCATCACTGATTTATTTATTTTTTTCTGCTTTTCCCTCTCAGCTGCTTCCAGAGCTAGCCAACCCAGAAGAGTTACTCTCCTACTTGGACCCCCCCGACCTTCCCTCCAACAGCAATGACGACCTACTCTCCCTTTTCGAGAACAACTAGCCCCTCCTCGCCCTCTTCCTGTGAACACTTGGAGCAGCTAGCTGTTTTCACGCACGCGGACTTGCTCGAACTGCTTCCGTGTTGACGACGGGCGTGCGGCACAGGAGCATGGCTGTGAAGGAAGCGGGACGTCAACGCTCGATCCCTGCACCCCCCATTTTTACTCGGCTTGTGTAAAGATTCCACACACCAGTTCCACCTCCTCTGGCTCCACCATTCGTAGCCATGTTGGTGGGCACTAAATTGATATGAAAATATTTATATATTATATACACATACATTACATGTGTATATGAGCATATATAGACATATGTGACTTTTCAAATGAAAACTGTGCAGCTATAATCATATATGACAACACGGAGGAGACAGAAGCCTTGTGTTGTAGCTTTCTTTTCTTTTTTACATATATATATATATATATATATATATATATATATATATATATATATATATATATATATATAATCTATATATATATATATATATATATATATATATATATATATGTATATATATGTGTGTGTGTGTGTAATTTTTCTCTTCACACAAGAGGAGTCAGGGGGAAAGCCATTGTGTTGTAAAAGTGTCTTTTTGAACCCAAACTAAATTTGTTCTTCCAAATCTTCTACACACACAACCCCAGACTTCCCGGTATGTGTGTGTGACAGCTGAGTAACTCTTCTGACTCAGAGCACTGATATCTGTGTCTGCGGAGGACGTGAGCGCATGTTATGCAGCGTTGCATGTTTGTCTGTATACAGGTGCATGTCAATAAATTAGGATATCATTGAAAGGTTAATTGATTAAATTTCCCCAATTGAATTAAAATATTCAATATGTACCATTTATTAGCTTCTAGATATTTTTGACAACATAGGGCAATTCCATTTGCAGCAAATTCTAAAATAAAATTCGAATGTAAAACAAAATCACATGTACCTATGTTTGACCCAGTGCACTTACTAGCATAAAAGTGAAAACATCAACAGACTTTTTGTTAAAACTAATTTTAACGAGCTTTAAATGTAGTTCTGAAATACCATAAAAGTAGCAAGCTTTGCTAGGATTATCCTGCAAGTTCTTTCTTGATTTCTGTCCTTGTTTCTGTGGGGACCAAAGCAAAACCGTTTATTTCATGAAGAAATGCAAAAACATCTCACATTACATGGAAGCATTAAACTCTGAGTAAAATATTTCAAACATTTTGTGTTAATTTTGATGATCATGAAAATCCAGAATCTAGAATCTTAGAAAATTAGAATGTTACATGAAACCAAAAACCTTGTTTTTGTAAATATAGACATTTTATATTATGGCCTGCACAATAATAGGGAAAACTGCGGATTTGACACCATCAACAATGAGGGTAAGTCAAAATTGAGGAATCTTGCTGTTCACTGAGTTCAGAATCCAGATATTTAAATGGAAAGTTGAGTGGAAGAAAAAACTATACTGCTTAACAGTATTTTTTGAAATCACTTCACACTTCGGTGACAAGATTCCTATAAGGACCAAGTGACACATCAGTATGTGTCAACGCTGACAAGCGCTATGAAGATCCTGATACATTTCCTTAAGCAAGACTTGGTAACTGCCAACAGTGTCAAAAGAACCAGTACCTGGTGTAGTGACCACTACACCTCTTTGGCCAGGAAACTCACCTCATCAAATGGTGTGGTTCACAGGAAGATGAGAGAGAGGAGTCATCAAAACAGATGCAACCTGGGTTTTCTCAGCACTATCATTCTCACAAAAGCAGTAATTCATGCAACAAAAAACCCCAACAAAGCATTGAGAGCATACGGTACATTCCATAAACATTTTAAATTTAGATCGTATAATATTACAATTTTCTGAGACAGCGTTGTGTAGCCTTTTATCAACTGTAAGTCATCATTATCAAAATTAACAGAAATAAATGTGAGAATCACATTAGTTTGTGTACTGAATTTATACAGTGAGTTTCTATTTTAGCATTACTGAAACAAGTCCACTTTTTTGATGGTTATCTGATTCATTGAGATGCACTTGAACACGTCCAGTTTTTTTCTTTGCTTACGAGTTTGTGTGAAAGGCAGAGAGCAGGGGAAAAAAGCAGCAGCCCAAAAGCAGAAGAGCGATCGTGGCTTTATTGAACCTCCTCCCCCGTGATGATTTGCTCTTCCTTGTCAAGTTTTGCACCATTTTTATCACAAGTGCACGTGTGCCAACACCCCTTGTTGTCTTCGTCCAGCCCAAACGTGCTCAATCGATCATGTCTTCATTCGTGGGGCTTCATTTTAAATCTCATGGTCTTGTTGTCCTTGTTAATGTTTGATCGTCACCGCTCATTGTAATTAATCCGATCCAACCTTTTTAAATCGCCGTATTGGAAAACACGGCGATGTAGGTGTACATGATTTCCTTTTGTCATGTTTTAACCTTTGAACAGCATACTTTTAGGTAATGAAAAAAAACCATTGTGCATGATGATCCAGCAGACTTGTTGTGTGTATTATATCCCCTTGTGACTGTACAGTGCTGTACCTAAAACTATTAGTGGCTACGTCATGGTACTGTGTGTCTGTCCAGGCCTGCACATGCTCACACACACATACACAACCCCTGATAACAACCTAATATTGTAAGAAATCTATCCCTATGCACTGTCACTGGCCTTGTACTGAGTGTATTGTGTATTTTAACCCCAAACCTGTTACAATGCATCAGCAGAAAGAATATTTAAAACTATCCTGCAGGCTATTCTGAGGTATTTTTCTTATTTTTATATTCTATATGTATGTAAAATCAGATCAGCTTTAACTGAGCTCTGTGTTTCTTTCTAAAGGTTTGTTCATTCAGCTTCAAGGTCCAAATTTGTCCGAAAAAAATTTATTTTCTTTACTGTCGTAACACGCCACCTCGTCCTCTTTATGTAATGTGAGAATGTGCAAAACGAGACCTGATAATGAGCGTTTTATCTCCCCACTTAGCAGAATTTGTGCATTTTCATCTTATTTTCTGTTGTTTTAAATTATTCTTGTCTAATGTCTTCTTTTTTTTTTTTTACAGCCAGTCTGATTTGGGTTATGCAGTTGTAATGCAGTAAAAAAAAAAAAAAAATTGTTTAGCAAAAAGAAGCTTCCCAGTTTCAGTTCAGATCACCTTCCAGAATCAAATTGTGTTTTGATACGATGCACTGCCGCGTTGGGAGATTTTACACCCCCTGCACAGTGTGTGATGATGCATATTAGCTCCCACAGAATCACGTCTTGTAATTTTGCGATCCGATTTGTATTTTCTGATGGCGGACGTTGAAAATGAAGCAGAGGGATCTCAAAGACAAGTTGGCTGATATTGTAAAATGAACTCTGGGGAGGATTCTCCTTACAGGGGGGATTTTTGGGTGGGGTTTTGGGGATGGAAGGGATATTTGTACATAATGTAAATGACAAAATAGAGACACATTAACAGAAATGTATTCATTTTTCTCCAGTGGGAGTGTGCATAGTGTATTTAGAATTTGTAAAGCTTGCATCCTCCTGTCAGACGTTGCATTGGGAAAACCAGTCCGTGTTTGATTGCCTCTGTGCAGACCTCTCTAACCACACCTGTTCAATGTAAGATACTTAATGCCACCTTCCTCACGGGATTCAGGAACAGAAAAAGAAAGAGGGTTTTGCTTTGAGTAATGTTAAACCTCTGTGTTTTTCACTCTTACCTGTGTACTTTTTAAAGGTGCTACAAAATTATTAAAGAAAAGAAGAAAAAAAAAAAAGCTTTTGAGGTATAACTGAGTCTCGGGTGGCTCCCGAGTGTAGCATCCAAAAATTTACAGTTTGTAGAAACAAAATTTTGTCAAATTTGTAACTTTTCTGAAATTTGGCAAATGTGCTGTAAGGGTACAATCTGAAGCGATTGGCACAAGTGGCAATTGTCTCATTTGGTTTTTGTACATTCTGTGTACAATCATTTCATATTCTAAACTGGTCAAAAGAACATTGTGATTTTTAGTCTTGCAAATCTGTATGTAGTTAGATGATGTGACATCCTAATATTTATCTAATAAATATGTATTCAGATGAAACACACTGAACTGCTTATGGACTTTTGTTTTAACATGCTATCTGCACAAACTGTAAAATCTTTACAAAGGCTAAAACTACAATCATTTCTTATTAGAGTAACATAATTAGTGGAATTGAATTTTATCACATTTATTTGTTGTGAGAAAAACTATCACAAATTAAAAAGAGTACAGAAATGTAATAGCCTTTATAATATAAATGAGAAATAAAACATTTTCGTAGAGTTTTTTTTTAATGAAATAAAACAGAATGAATGAAAAGAAGCTAGAAAAATGTAAGTTTGGAGACATGCTTGAAGAAACATTGAGATCATATTTAAAGGCATATTTCAGATTCACTGAAGCAATGCTCTGTTTAAACGTCATAAACAGTAAAATCTTACAATTACCAAATGTCTTGGTGTCTTCATGTTGTGAGAATCAATGTCATTGGTGGTGCACCACCTCCTACTTGTATTTCCTGTGTAAATCATCGTTGGTTTAAATAACTAACCAATGCAAACATGATGAATGGTTCGCAAAATGGAGTTGGCACAAACTTTTGCCCTCTTCTCCTTTCAGGTTAGTTTTGGCTTCCAGGTTCAACTGATCTGGATTAATTGATTGGTTATTTGAAGAAACCAAAAAAAAACAATGTGCACTCAAAATTTGCACAGCATTGTATATGTTCACTGCTTTAAAAAAAAGTCCTTTTTGAAAATACACACGAATATTAATTAAGGAACTTTTAATCTATTAAAGTTCCTTAATTTTAATTTTAGTTGCAGAATCTTGCCGACAACCAGGGTCAAATAAAGTGTTGCAAAGTAAAATCCCTACTCTTTGTTTCAGCACGAACAGCGGAAATCATTAACATAACTGAACTGCTTTGAAGTCAACTAGAAACAGCCAAACATTTGGAGCAAACAAACAGAGGTAACAAAATAAAGTCGGTCTTGGCGTGTCACTTCCTTCCTCACGGTGTCGCTGTTTCACTCTGCGGCAGGTCTGCCGCCTTTGAGTGACGTCACGCGTAAACAGCGCCAGCGCCCACGGCCGTAGAGACGCTGGTTGCTCCTCTGCATTCAGGCGGCTGAATATATGTTACAAATTAAAAACCGCCTGCGGTTCGGCCCGCTGGGTCTCGCTGCTGCCAGGCTGGTCTCCTCAGGCCCCGTCAAGAACCCCGTCGTGTTTCTGGACATCGAGGCCGACGGCGAACCTCTGGGAAAAGTTATCATTGAGGTTAGCAGCCCCAGCTAACGCACTAGCCTCTCTCATTACACGGAGATTCTCATAACTCATATTAAGTCATTTGTCTGTGTTATCTGGCAGCTGAACGCGGATGTGG